GTTCTTTCCACAGATGTAATCGATCTGATTCCTATGCATACCATCAGGTGAAATCCAGGTATATAACCTACGTTTATGTCTCTTAAAAAATGTATTTGCTATGAATAAGTCATTGATTGTGCAAAATTCGATGGTACTTAATAACCTAGGTGTACTTGGTAATTTACCAAAACTTTATTTTACATTCTGAAATCTACAGTCTTCATTCTGTTTTAGTATTGATCTCTTAACTGAACAGTATTTACTTTTCCTCATTTGAGTACTAAAAGATTGCTTCATAAAGCAGCAATTAGGTTGTAACCACTTTGATTTTTCTGATTTAGAATATTTGAAGCATATTTCACATTATTGAACTAGTGAGTTTAGAAATCACTAGCTAAATAAGCCAACTAGTCACTTGAACATTGGGAGTCCACATTTGTACTTTTCAGATCTCATCTCACCTAAGTTATTCACTGCATTTAGTCATCATGCCTCTTTGTCTCCTTTAACCTGGAACTGTTCCTCAGTGTTTTTAACAGCCCTTATGTCCCCCTCTCTCAAATAAAATGAAGGACATTTTTTGCTCTGTTAACCCAATGGTAGCACCTCTGGTGGTGCTAATCTACCAGGTGAGTGACCTCTTCTTGGTGGGTGACCTCTTCATGTGTGACATATAGCCTGTCTCGATCCTTTGAAGGAGTATCAGTCAGTAAATTAGAGGTTTATTAATAGATGTGTCCTCAGTAGCCAAAGGCTATTTGTATTGCTCCTAATGGTTATCTTTGATTGAAATGAAACCCAGTGCCTTGGAGATTCTGACTCAGAGATTTTCATCTGATTTCAAAATATGTCTTAAAGGGTGAGGACTGCCTGTCTTTTTCCACAGAGCAACTGGTTGATTCAGACTGCTGACCTTTAAGTTACCCAATCTGTACATTATACATTCTGCACTAGAGCTCTCCTTTAATTACTTAGTTAACATCAGCTCTCAGCTGTGGAGTCGTTTCTGCTTCATAATAATGAATATAGCAATGTTTCCAGGGCTGCAGACTTCAGTGGGAGGAGACTGCCCATCTTTCTTGGACAGTGTCTGTTGAATTCCAAAGTGCTGACCTTTTGGTTAGCAGCTTGATATGTTGGCACTGCACTTTAATGAAAATAACATGTCATGTTTCATATTTTGTAAAGTTACTGTATTTTGATCTGTAAATAATAATTATTAAGAGTATAAGTATCTAGTGAAATATCATAATTTTCACATGTTTTTCTTAAAATGGTTGTTGTTATATGCTGTCAAGTTGCCTGTGACTCATAGCAATCCTATGTACAATAGTTCTGAACCTGCTCCTATCTTGAGCCAGTCTCACTGTCTGACACACCTACCCCCTTTACGCCAACCACTGTGTCAAAGCAGTTCTTACTAGTGCCTTCCTCTCTTGCCACTGTCCCTTCATCCATCCAAGCATGGTAGATGACCTTCTCTAAGAACTGGGCCCTCCTGGCCACAAGGCCAAACAAACTATATGAGAGAGACCTTCAAAATCCTTGCCTCCGAGGAGTAGTTTGGTTTCACCCTCTCCAGAACAGGCCTGTTTGTTCTCTCAGCAGTCCTTGAATTGTTCAATACTCTTCTCCAGCAGCACAACTTAAAGGTATTGGTCCTTCTTCTGTCATCCTTAATCATTGTTACTGTACACCTGTTCTTTTGATGCTTCCTGCATCATTCAATATTTTGCCCATACAATCTTTCAGTATTGCAACTTGAGGCTGGAATTTGTTCTTAAATTTTACACCTTGAGAAATGCCAAACATATTTTTTCTTTTTTTGTGTTCTAACTCTAGCTGTTTGCACATTTCGTTGTAATAATATTTTGCTTTATCTTCTTAAGTGGCCCTTTGAAATCTTATGTTTATTTCTCCTATGTTGGGAAGCTATTGCTATAACAAAATGTGCAGATTTAGAGCATACTGTCGACTTCCAGGCCACAATCACATCCAGCCTGGAGAGGGTGAAACTGAGTTGCTCCCTGGAGGCAAGGATTTTGAAGCTCCTTCTCATATACTTTGGGCACATGATCAGGAGAGACCAGTCTTTGGAGAAGATCATCATGCTTGGAAGAGTAGAGGGACAGTGCAGGAGAAGAAGACCCAGGATGGGATGGATTAACTCAGTGACTGGAGAAATAGGACTAGGTCTGTTGGAGACAATGAGATTGGCTCAGATTGGGCAGGGTTTAGAGCTAATGTAGATAGGGTCTCTGAGTCACAGATGACTTGACAGCATATAATAACAACATGCTTATATAAATTTCAGAGTCTGTTCTGATACCCATTTTGGTCAAAATGCATATTCCTTTGGAAATGTCTACTGTCAAGGACCTCTCTAAAGTTCTATAGAATAAGAATGTCTGTTTAGAAAAGGTGCACTGGATGTAAGCTTTGATCCTTTCAGTTACTTGCTATGCATCTGAAATTTGGACAGTGCATAAGGATAACAGAAGAATAATCAATTCCTTTGAGTTGTAGTGTTGGAGTAGAGTACTGAATATCCCATGTCCTGCCAAAAAGAACACTCTGGTAGCACTATTTCCAAGATAATTGTTAAAGGAAATGGAACATTTGTGTACAAGTCTTTGAGCAGATGTAATCTTTTATTTATTTATAAACAAATAAGTAAATAATAAGTAAATGAATAAATAGTAGTAGTA